AGCTGTATGCCAAGAGTGAATGAGACATCAATGCACTGATCCATACCACCAGGATATACAGCGACAACATTGGAATGTTGTTCAGACTGGAGAAGTGTAATAGGATGATGACAAAGAGAAGGAAGCTAGTCAGAGCTGAGGGGACTGTAATACCAGAGGACAGCTACAGCTACAGCTACAAGCTACAAGTACAAGTGGTCTGGAAGTCACAAGGTTAAAATGGGACATACCCCCTAGGGTGTTTGGTAATGAATGAGCTAAGGTCCTGCGCGACCTCCATATTAAGGCAGACAAACTGGCGATGGCTAACCAACTGGGCATAGTAGTGGTAGAAAAGCAGAGGAAGATGGCTGTAGTGATAGCTGTAGCTATACTAAGTGATAGCAACATCAGGAAGAAGGAACATGACAAGCTCGAGAAAAACCAAGGGATGAGAGAAGAGCTTGCAAAGTTGTGGAGGGTGAAAGCAACGGTGGTCCCCATGGTAATCGGACCACTCAGTGCAGTGACCCCTAAGCTGGGCAAGTGGTACCAGCAGATCCCAGGAACAACATCTGAGATCTCTGTCCAGAACAGTCCAGAACAGTCCAAGGAAGGATCCTCAAGCTGCCAGGCCTCAGGTAGAGGACCCGATCTTTCACAGAAAGAACTGAATTCTTTCTGTGTTCTGTATTACTGACTGTCATTAAAAGTGTCAGAAGGTGAAAGATGAAAAATTAAAAATAAAGGAAATAAAGATGTGTGAGATAATACTACAAAGGTAAATTGATAAAGAAGCTGAATGAAACATTATTATCATTTTTTTTATTCTTTACATAATTAATACATACATGTATTTTTCCATTAAATTTTTTATTTAGCAGCATCAATCCTCCATACTGTAGAGATAAACTTTCCATTGAAAGTAAGTCATAGCCTGGCAAATCCCCAGTCAAATGTGAGCCTGACTTACCTCACATGGCGCTGACACACACAACAGTGGAAACAGTGACCTATATAGAGCGGAAAGGCCAGTGTCCAATTTTAACACGCACACACACACACACCCACACACTCACACACACACACACACACACACACACACACACACACACACACAGATACAGTCTCCCGCCTAAAAGGCTCCTATCCCTGTTGTGTTGTGCTGGGTGTCTTTTGGGTGGTGGGGGAGGAGAGGTGGAAGGAGGGGGTAACCGGGGTGCCTGCCAGATGACTGCTCTGTCAGCCCTATAATGGGCTGCCATCTGCTGTCTAGCATACACAAAGGCAAACAGTGTGTGTGAGAGAGTTTGTGCACTCGCTTATGGGTGTGTGCTTAAAGAAAGAAGGCCGAGGAGATTTGGTCAGATGCCTGTAGGCTCTGTTTCATGTCTTTGGTGCACAGGGTAGACCCAAAAATGGACACACACACATACCTTACCTAGTCAAGCTGACTGAATGATAAGAGATACAGAAGGGGGGCAAACGTGCACTGGACATTATACGGTAATTAAATCAGTGGAAACTACAGCATGTGAAGAGAATCTGTATATCTGGGTTAAATGTAATTCATCCAAAAACAGCAATTATATGTTTATTTTAGGTCTATATAGTGTTTCAGTAAGTCATTGTTTCAACTAAATACATGCAGGAGGTACAAAGTGGAAGGGCTGCTGCCAATAACCAATTAAGAAGCAAAGGGTCCCCGACATCTTTCGGCTCATAGTGCGGGTCACGCAATAACAAAAGGCCCTCTTGTACCAGAATGAAAGCAAAGGAGGACAGATTGATTAAGTGGACATGGCGTGCATGTGGCGCTCGTGTGTTTATGTGTACATTGTTTGCATGCATGCGCACTGCCGCTCCTTCAGCATAAGGCAAGTCGTCACATTCTCCCTCCATTTGGGGGGCAATTGAGTGAATGGGCCTGTAAAACCAACAGCCCAAAGGACAAAGGAGCTCAGGGGCATTAAGTCATGGGTGAGTGGGCCCCTTTAGGGCCAGCAGCTGACCCTGTGGAGAGGCCTCTTGTTCTGGTGGAGGGGGCTCGTGTCCCTGGACCCCAGGCCAAGTTGACAGCATCCCAACGTATACATACACACATGACAGAGAGGTCATCTTCAAACCACTCCATGAGTTGTCACACCCAGCCTTCACCTGCTTAGATGTCCACGCTGCATGTGAGGAAAAATTAGAGTGCATGATTAAAGGTGGAATATTTCAATTTCCACTTTCACCATTTAAAAAGACAAAGAAAAAGCTTTCAGTGGCGTTAGTTTTTGGCAAGACGTCAGAGTGTCGCCATGCCCGCTGTGAACGTGTCAGAAAAACTAAGCGATCATCAGAAATCTTTATTATGCAGAAAACAGCATGTAACGTATACTAATTTGCACAAAGGCATTTTGGCAGTTGATGGCAAGTGAAAATGCAAACACAAGAAAGTCAGAATACCTTTAAAATTATCCAACAAATGCATTTATTTAGCCAAATTAAGTACATGGTTACAAAGACAGCTGGCAGGATTTCTATGGTACCTCGATTATGGTTTCAACTGAAAATGCTATATAGTATAACTCAAGTGTTACATGTGTGATTCTCCTGTAAATGAAAGCAAAGTCCAGCATCTTGTGTACTGCTCATGCATAACTACAATAGTATATGACAGCTGCTACTATCCTGTACTTATATGTACTTAATGCCCTTGCAACCTATGATGTTACAATGTCATTAACACACAAACAGATTATCTTGGTTTTAACAAATGGAATGTACAAACCAACACACAGAACATACGACACAAATATATACAGATTAGACAGATCTCAGCCACCCGATCCAAATATACAGTAAACATCTTACAAAGTTGTTTAGTCTGTTTTTAGCGTTGTGTACCATATTCTTCTGATCTTTCCACCTGATTTCCCTGACAAGATTCCCTTCTTATTCTCACTCAAATACTTAATGCAGGATAATCCAGATTATAGCCATTACTGGATCCACTAAAGCAGATGATACAAGAAAAAAAATACATGTAGCTATAGTGTTACTTCACCAGATTATGGAGCTTTTTTTAAAGGATGGTTCGAGAGTGCATTTGTTCTTGTCCATAAGGTGAAATGAGTGCGCAGAGAAACATGTGACATCTCACTCAAGGGTAGTTCAGCAGGATACAAGGAGACAATGGCTGCAGCAGAAATCGTATCTGGATCTTGTACAGATGTTAATAAAAACAGAATGCAATGATTTGCAAACATTTTAAGCCCTATATTTAGTTTAAAATGTCACAAAGATAACAAGACAAAAAAATGTAAATAGAAAGATTTGCACTTATTTTGAACTTGATGCCAACAAGGTGTTTCAAACCAGCTTAAATACTAATACTACATTAGAAAGGTTCATTGTAGTGACTATAGTGACCAAGGCAAATTAGGGAGGCATCCTTCACTTAGTGAGACTGTGTGGGCTAATAGTTCAGTAATAAATGTGATGTCTCCAGAGGACATCAGTGAAGCTGACACTGAAACTAAAATGAAACATCTGACAACCATTTTCAGTGAACGGCTTCTTGCAGTTGCCCACAGTGTATGTAATAAAAAATGGCATTCAAAGTAAGAATAGAAAAAAAATTAATCTAACAATATCCAGAAATACAGCTGCCTGGGCCAAGCTCATTTAAAACGGACTTGGATGAAGGGAAAAACTGTCCTGTGGTCTGACCAATCACAATCTGTAATTCATCTCTGACATCGTGGACAATGTGTTGTCCGGGCTAAAAAAGGGAGACGGATCAATCAACTTGTTATGAGTGTCCAGCTCAAAAAGCCAGATGATATTCGGTTGCATTGTGCACACTGCACGGCTAATATGCGTTTTAATGCTTGGTGATATTGCTCCAAAGAAAGAGGTGAAGAAAGCAGGTGCTAAACTGTCCAGCCCAGCGTTCGGACATGTCATAAAGAAATTAAAAATATGACAAAGAGGACTAGGAGCTGGTGACCACTAAAATCTAAAAATGGGAAAACATTTTGCTTTCAGACTAGTGCACCTGCCTTCCTCATAGTGTTAAAAAAGCAGTAGTCAGTGGTAAACAAGCCCTTGTTTTCACCTTATTTGAAACATATTACTGGCATCAGTATCAAAACATAACATCCAACGACATCTTTGCACTGTTTACAATTAAATATAGGGTTTTAGCAACATATTTCATTCTTCACAGCAGCCCAGCATTTTAGGAGACAGAATTGTAATAACATATGTATTGACCAATATGTATTTTGTGTTTTAGCTCAAAGCCATCTGTCTAAAAATACAAGGTTTTTACGTAGTGCATTTTAAATACACCTTTTGCAGCAAAACAGGAGAAAAGAACATGTGTAAATAAAGCAGCATGATCTTAACATCAGCATTCAAACATGAATGAGCAAACATGAGCAAACGTAAGGAAACACCCATCTAACACATACACACACACGAAAAAAGGTAAGAACTGGAACTACATTATGAGAATGAACATTTACATTTAAACAAAGAGGAAAAAAAGTGCAATTAGTCTATGATTAGAGGTCAGAAATGGAGTCCCGCTACCTACATACATCCTATCTATATTTTACAAAATCACACGTACAACTATGCAAAGGTTATTTGCTAGCTCTCGCCTAATCAGGAGAAGAAATTAACATTAAATCAGTTGCAGTGCTTGTTCTTCTAACTTGGAGAAATAAAAAACTGAATGGTTGCCCAATCCTAATTTTGAAAGAAAAAAAGACAATATAATTTCTCAATAATTTCTCTTAAATGTTTTCTTTTAGAAATAAATAAATTAGTAGACATTAAATAAATAAAACCTACAGCCCTCACATAAAACCTAAATCCTTCTCCAACAAAATGCTTGTTGCTGAGCACTAATGATACGAACGTCTGACCAAAACAATGGCGGCCATTCATTCCCTAATAGAGAACTGCTTTAGAGCAAGTGAGAGTTTTTAGGCTGTTTTGGCAGCAAGATTAAACTTCTTCGAAACTCACGGTGTCCGATTTATATTAATATCTAAGCCTTAGAGCTGTCAGATAATAAATAAAACAAACAAAAATAAACATTAAGGTACCCTTCCATTTTTGAGGTTCTTTCACATGTACATTGCAATGAAATACATTCAACCGATGTCTCCACCGACTCTATGGCCTTGGAAAGGAAACGCTGTGTTATAAAAGGAATAAAATAATAATAAAAAAATACCATCACAAGTGCTATCCAGTTTGCCCTCGAAAATACTGCTCCTTGCTCAGCAGCAAAGTCAACTCAATAGTGCAATACTGACAGCTTCCTATTTCCATCCTAAAAACTTCACATGGAGTCCGATTGGCATTCCTCCTTAACATAACACTGCTGTCACAAAAAACATGTAAGTGCATTTTTTTTCTCATTTAAAAATCAATAGTAACATTACACACTCACCAGCCACTTTGTTAGGTACACCTTCCTAATATGGGATTAGACCCTCTTTTGGCTTCAGAACTGTCTTAATTCTTCATGGCGCAGATTCAACGAGGTGCTGGAAACTTTCCTGAGTGATTTTGATCCTTATTGACATGATAGCATCACATAGTTGCTGCAGATTTTCAGCTACATCCCAAAGGTGACTGGATCTGATGGGGTCTGTTGTCTGTGGATCCCATTTGAGTACAGGAAGGCAGGATGGATGCATGATTTCATGTCGTTTACTCCAAATTCTGACCCTACCATCTGAATATTGAGACTCGTCAGACCAGGCAAGATTTTTCCAATCTTTTTTGTACAGTTTCAGGGAGCCTGTGTGAATTAAAGCCTCAGTTTCCTGTTATTAGCTGACAGGAGTGGCATCTGGTATGGTCTTCTGCTGCTGTAGCCCCTCAGCTACATCAGAGGTGCTCTTCTGCATATTTTGGTTATTTGAGTTACTTTTGCCTTCAGTCTGGCCATTTTTACCCATTTTGAATTTTGTATCTGTAAAACCTAGAGAAGGTAGTGATGGAAAATCCCAGCAGATCAGCAATTTCTGAGCACCAACAACCATGCTGTGTTCAGTCACTTAAATCACCTTTCTTCCTCACTCTCACGCTCGGTGTAAACTTCACATCATATGATCATCTTGACCATATGATATGCCTTGCGTTAATGAGCGGTCGAGCAGATATACCCAATAAAGTGGCCAGTGAATGAAGTCTGTACTGCGTCAGTTTACAACCCATGGCGTGATTTCATTGTACACGGGTGTCGGTAAAAAGCTACAAATGCTGCACATACGTGTTTTTTTTATCTGCTAACAGCAGTGGGACAGTTTAGTAAAAACATGCAGGAGGAGATAAACAATGAGTAGCGCTACATCTTATAATGTCTTTCATGTCTTTAAACAATATATTAATAATATACAACTCAGAAGCAGCCGCTGCTGGTGATACACACTATTTCTGCAGCCTACTCTATGTGCAGGTTGATTAAAAGAAAAAGCCTTTTTGTATGTGTACAAAACTGCTCATGACTGCTGGCAAACAGAGAACACTTTGGGCAGTTACCTCAAAATGCGTTGAGAACAAAACCTCTGTATGGACGTCACTGGCAGTGCACTTCTGCTTCAGAAGAAAAATAAAACAATTTGTCTTCACTGGATTGTCTCTTACAAGATTCAGTGGAGGTTTTAGTTGTCGGACAGATGTAGTGCTGCCTGCGTAGTCGAGGGGACGGCTTTAAAGCACAAGCGCCCTTGAGACAGAGGTGGACGGTGGGTAGGGATTCAGGTACTGACGAGCCTGTTCTGTCATGATCAGTTGGTCCTGCGTCTTTCCATAAACCACTGCTTCCCACTCACTCACCTGCACAGAAGGTGATCAGTGGTTACTGTGATTGTCTGTTTCTACCCTTTTCACAGCATTAACTACACATTGACATTAATGACAGTTGTTTTGTTTCGTCATACCTGTGCAGTGTTGTGTTTTGTTGCTTTGTTAGAGGTCGGAAGCTTCTTCGTCCGAGGGCTAGTAAAGTGTTGAGTATGAACGGCGACTCCTAATGAGAGCTCATCTTTCCCAGAAGTCACAGAATGGCCACACTCGTCTCTCTCGGAGATCGGAGAAACCAATGAAGAGCTTGTCAGTAGACCTTCATCTGACACCTGCAACATGGCATTCTTTGAATGGTGCAGGTTTTAAGAAAGCAGTAGATTAAGAGTAATAGTAATTACATGGTATTTATAAAAATACTTTTACTTGGAAAGGGCTCCAGGACCTGAAGCTGATTTGAAGTGTGGTCAGAGAGGCTTACCTGTGCATCGTCGAGCTGGTCTTGGAAAAGTTCAGTATTAATGCTTTCTTTGCCCCAAGGGTCCAGGACAAGAGACTTGCGCACTTTTCTAGCTGGGCCATCCATCTAATTTTGAAGCATCAAAATGAAATAAAATTATTTCTTAGTTTTTTGATGAGGTGTTGAGGTCATGAAGGTTGTATTTCGTGACTTACGTTATGTTTCCACACTCTGTAATCTGGCTGTAAGTCTGCTCTGTTGAAGATGTCTGTTCCGGTCTCTTGCTTTAGAACTTCTCGAATGTCTTCTTCGAGAAAGGCCAAAGGCTGTGGCTGCAAAACAAAAATGGATGAGTATAACCACAAAAAAGGCAGCAATATGTTCACCTGCTTGCACCAGAATTTGGCAAATTTACCTCTCTCTTTAGTGGCCCGTGCATTTTCTCCTGGGCAGCCAAAGCATTTTTGAAAGGAGTGGGTGTCCTCGGAGTTGGAGTCATGACTGTTTTGCAGAATTTAGGAGTCCTGGAACTACATATTTGTAATTGTGATTACACTAGTTTTCTGCAAGCAAAAAGATCTTCTGATATACTGCTTACAGCCGATTCATTTACCCATCATTCTCTTTCTGGTGTTTAGGTGTGGTATCTTTTTGAAGGGGTGTGTTGAGCAGACACCTCTGACCGCACACAGGAGTTGAGGTGAGGGCGGGGTTTTCCAGATTGAGATGCTCTGGCACTGATATGTTGCAGAACTGAGGAGAATGAAGACATGGCATATTAGTCAAATCACTGCATCAGCTGTAATGGGAAGATGTTCTCTGAAGTAAATTATTAAGATAATTACTCGTGACGGGGTAAATGGCAGTGTCTTTATAGGTGTTTTCTTGGGAGAATTTGAAATATTTTCCAAGAAGGAAGAGCAAGTCTTGTCACACAAAGGAGATGGTTCCCCCCTCTCTCTTCTCCTCTTCCTCCCAGTGGAAGCCTGGGTGGGTTTGGATGAGTTAATGGGAGTCATGGATGCAAGATCTCCCACACCAAATGGAGCACAGTTCCTGTCTTGGCCTAAGTCGGTAGTGGCAGCGTTGACTGGGTAATTCACTGAATTGTACATGGTGCTCTCTTGCAAGATAGTGCTATAGGCTGCCTGGTTGTGCCTGGACGGCGTCGCCGTCTCTGACAAATCAAAACTGGCCACTTCGTTCCATGCGACAGGATCCTGCAGAGCAAAACACATCTACAGTAGATCTTTAATACATTCACAATATTTGGCCAACAAATTTACACAGAGTTATGTTTGTTCTGTGTTCATCTCCATTTGTTACTCACTGAATCAATAAGCTCCATGGTCTCTGCAAATTCTGGTATGGTCTGCAGGGTGGACAGCACTGTGCTGGCCTCTACAGCCAGGAACTTGCTGGGCGAGACAGGAAGCGGTGCTGGAGCTCCCTGCGGGATCTCAGGGCCCTCCCAGGGTCTTCTCTCTGCTTGTTCTTCCAGGCTACTGCTACTCGTGGTTCGCGTGTCATCTGACACACTGTCTGGCCATGCTGGGTACTGCTCCAAACTCTGAGATAGAGGGCAGCAGGGGACGGGTGGGGGTTAAAGACACTGCTGTTAGATCTTTGGCTCGTGCAGCAGGATGGTGTCTGATCTGATGGGTTTGGCAGATGTGGTGTAAAATTATTGCTAATTTGCACGAGTTTGGAAATTATGTGTAGGAAATGGTGGGAAAAAATTGTACAGTATAAAGTCGCTCACTGAAAAGAATAAATGTGAATGAAGTATGAAAACAGTCAGTGCAGACAGAATAGAGACTGAGAATGCTTTAGTCAGAACCAAACTGCGGGCTAAGTGTGGGTATGGTAGGATGGCAGGGAGTGAGGGCTGGAGGGGATGAGGGGGCGGGATCAAGTTTAAAACTAAAATAATGGGCGAGGTGAGGGGTGGGAGCTAGGGGGACTACCAAGCACAGCTTCAGGCCAGTCTGAGTAAGTGGCGAGAAGGGGAAAGTAGTTACTATTGCAACACTACAGCAAACAGGCTACAGACACGCATACATGCCCTCATTCTTGTTTTAGAATATATACACTGCAAAAAGTTCATTAATGAAGGCCAGTTAGAATCAAATGCCAGGATTTTGGACTTAAATAAACTTTTCGATATCAATATATTGTTTTTTCAGATTATGTAACTCGCTATTTATTTCACTTTGACGCGAAGACATATTTAATATAAATATGAGCCTTTTTACAGTGTATGTACTGTAAGCTATTAACACACGCAGGCTATGCTGACTAAGAATGCTAACACACATTCAGTGTGTGTTCTTACACATGAACCTCTGCACTGCACTTGTTGGTGGACTTCACTCTCTGCTGACATAAGCAGCAGTTCAAGCTCCTTAATTCTTTGCTCTCTGTCAGGATCATCCAGGCAGGATGGCTGGAATAAACAAACATCACGGAGGAAAAGGAGGCGAAAGGAAAAGAGGAAAGAGTTACGAGAGTTAAGAAAATCAGGAAAACAAGACATAAACATAAAAACACTGCAACAACAGCACTGACATCGCACACCCTTTCAGCTGTATTTTGTGTTAGGAGAAAAAACAGGACGTTCAAGTTTTTGATTTGAGCTCCAGAGTTAGCAATCACAAGTACAACTACAGAAAGACCAGAAAATAAAGAAGTCAGACATTTTCCCCACTAGCATGCAAAGAAACCTTATAAAAGACTCACTGATATGAAGCTTGAATTTTCAGGAAGACTGTCCATCATGTGCCCACCATGAGGCTCAAATGGAAAACCACCCGTCTGCAAACAGAGCATTACACTTAGCTCAAATAGCGCCAAATCACAACAGCAGTCACCTCATTGTGCTTTATATTGTAAGGTAAAGATCATAATAATACAGAGAAAACACAAACAATAACATGTCTCTTTATGAGCAAGCACTTGGCAACAGTGGGAAGGAAAAGCTCCTTTTTAACAGGAAGAACATCTGGCCGATCCAGACTCAGGGAGGGGCGGCCATCTGCCGTGACAGGTTGAGGGTGAGGGGAGGAAACAGGACAAAAGACACACTGTTGAAGTGCAGTGGTGTATAAACACATAAAGGGGAAGGTGAGTGAAGAAGAAACAGTGCATCATAGGAAGCCTGCAGCAGCCTAAGTCTTTTTCAGCATAATTAAAGGAGGATTCAGGGTCACCTGATCCAGACCTAACGATATGCTTTATCAAAAAGGAAAGTTTTAAGCCTGATTTTAAAAGTAGAGATGTCTGCCGAATCCAAACTGGGAGCTGGTTCCACAGGAAAGAGGCCTGAAAGCTGAAGGCTCTGCCTCTCATTCTACTTTTAAATATCACAAGCCCACAGTCTGAGAATGAAGAGATCGATTGGGGTGATACGGTACTATGAGTTTTTTACAGTTAAATGGGCCCTGATTATAAATGTTGTGTTTGAGGTGAAGCATGTTTTAAGTAAGAGGACAAATGAAACAAAGACTGAGGATGGACCTGGTTTGATGCTGTCATAGCCACAGGGCTGCGGTCACAGTGCTGGGGCTCTGTTGGAGTTGCAGGACACTGCCTGTTGTGGCGTCTCTTCCCATTAGCAGAGGAAGTCTTGCAGCCATCTTGCAGGTACCCCTCATGCTCCACTTTTCTCTTCATGGTGGAATTCCAGTGGTTCTTGATGGAGTTGTCCGTTCTGTTAGGGGATAGCATTGCTAGTGTGACTCACTTACATTACTTAGACAGGAAGCACAAACAGACAGTGTGTGACGCACTACACTACCGTCCAGGAAGAAGCTTAGAGATCTCAGCCCAGCGGTTGCCAAGGCGTTTGTGGGCTTCATAGATGATTCGATCCTCTTCCTGAGTCCATGAAGACTTCTTAACTTCTGGGTTGAGGTGGTTGTGCCAGCGTTCACGGCACTGCTTTCCGATTCTTCCCTGGAGGTGCTTCGCAATCACTGACCAGCGCTTGGGACCATATTTATGTACGAGGTCAATAACCTGCATAAACACCACCACGTGGAGGATATTCAGTAGAAGCACAAGTAAATAAATTCATGGATTTATGAATGAATGGGGTAGGGCCCTAATTAATTCTGCCACTCTATAAACTTGTTCAAAGAGTTCAGATTTCTAAGAGAAGCAGTGCTGTTTAGAAACCTTCACTATAGCAACAGCAGAGCTTGTTTGGCTCTTTCCATCGAGGCTGAGAAATGTTGTGATGTCACTTTTGGCAGGCTAAGCTATAATTGTAAGATCTGTGTTTTTGTTATGATTCCAACATTTCGGAGGAATGACACACCATTCATGACATTCTTGAACAACAGTGATCCATTTAAGGAATGCATCGCTGGTCTAACAGCAGGAAAAGGTCTTCAAGCTTTGCTTTGTAGGGAAAAAAACTAATTAAAAAAGCGGCTGGCTGCTAAACCTCTTACTTGAAGAGACTGTTTTATTACGAATGACGTAGTGGAGAATTTACTTTAGAAAAAAATGAAAAAAAAAACCTTCTTGGCGGGAAGTAAGCATGCACATGTGCACAGCCTGGTTATTCTGAAGCTAAAGGGTACATTACATATTGTGGCACTTGTCTTTGTATTGTGTGTTTTCAACCTGTCTAAACTGCTCTCTCCCCTCTCTGCCATATCATTTACCCATTTTGTCACCAATGTTTCTGCACAAAATAGGGATTCAGAGCTCATCTTACCTTTTGATCCTCCTCCTTTGTCCATGGTCCTTTCACTAGCTCTGGATTGAGCACCTTCTGCCACCGGTGCTGACACTGGCCATCTGTCCTCCCCTGTGATAGAGATACACAAAGAGCAACACCTCATTACAGTAGTAACTGAAAGAGATAAACCAATATGGTGTAAAGTAGTAACATTTTTGTTTAATGAAATTACACAATTGTGCTTACTGGAAAAAGGGTAGCTATTAATTTCCAGGAGTCTGTTCCGTGCTGCTCAACAAGCTTTTTCAGCTTTTCATCCTGAAGAAAAAGAGAGATGGAAAAAAAGCAAATGGTACAGAGCGCGTGTAAGGCATCTTGTTCAGCATTTTCACATAAACACTGTTATACAGTTACCCTTAAAGATGTTTGCGAGGAGATAAAAGCAGAACGTAACATGCAATGCCTCAAGTTAAATCTTTCCAACAAATTCCCAGCTCAGATGTCAGATCTCTGATAAACTTACCTCATCTCGTGACCACTTTACTTTGCACAGTGTCTTTTTATCTTTGCTCTTCTCTTTACTCTCTGGATCTGTGGACTGCAGCTCTTCATCCTCATCATTGCTAAAATATACAAGGCAGTAAAAGAAGAGCACATTTAGACCACAAATGGAGCCCAAGACTGAGGTATGAGGTCAGTGCCTGTAAGCTAATATATTAGACATCAATACATGGACACCAAAGCTGTAAAAAGAAATTACTTGAGAATGGTGTAAGAAGCTTAACTATTACTACAGGATGAAGGCTCAGTGTAATTAAACGGTCTTGTGACCAAGTAGATTTGCCTACTCTTTGCTTTAACTTCATCTGAAAGAAATAAAATCCCTGTTAAAAGAATTAGACTTTAGCAGTGAGTTATGCCAAGCTTTTTAGGGGCAGGATTGAGGAAAAGCAGCAGCATTTACCAAAAGCTGACCACAACTCTTTTGATGTCATAGCAAAATAAATAAACAAATACATTAATAAAAGACAAATAAAAGCAAAACTAAAAGCATCAGTGGGCAATAAACAAGCCTTTGACACATCATATCAAAACTGAAAGCAATGTGTTCTTCGTGTATTGCACAACACTGACTCTGGACATTTTAGCTAACCAAACAAATGAATCAATGAGTTCGTTGATGCGGGGATCTCAGTGTGACTGCATTAGGTCACAGGTCTTGAAGATGTAAAGACAGAAATAACATGTCAATTATAATTATGCACAATAAAGAACACAAAATAGAACTACTGATAATATAAAATGTCAGCACACTGCATTTCAAAATTTTTGCATGCAAAAACCTGCTGCTGGGCACTAAAGTCTTTGCAGTATGGGAGCAGACTTTAATAAATGGAGGAGAAATTAAATTCCTGAACAGCCAGGCTTGTTGTCCTGTAGGAGACCTCTACAACCACACATGCACACACAGGGGGTTGGGGAGTGCTCTCTTGAGGTCTTGTATGAAAATGTGGATGAAAGGTCTTCCTTAGAGTGGAAACTTTAGTATACCAATTGAATTTTGGTATGGCCTGATTCCCTCACAAGAGGCAAGAGAAGTTTGCTGAAAAGGAAGGAGGGGCCTAAGGTGACTGGAGGAAAGGAGGGGTCTGCATCAACAGGCTCTTTCACTACCAGAGCTTTATAAGTGTGTGTGTGTGTGTGTGTGTGTGTGTGTGTGTGTGTGTGTGTGTGTGTGTGTGTGTGTGTGTGTGTGTGTGTCTTGATGAGGTGGAAGAGGTGTACTGGGGTGTGGTTAGGGGACTGGCAAAGCCGTAACGGTCCAGTTCAAAAAAGTTTAAAAAAAAAAGGGGGTATACTTGCATAACCTCCTGGCATTTATTCACTTTGAAACTGAAGAATATAAAACTATAATTCTAGGTGGCAAGTATAAGAAGCACCATATTTATATTCAGTGTTTAATCCATTAGGAATACATCACCTGTCATAAGCAATGAATATGAAATAATAACTCTGAGTTGTTCTAATTGGATAGAGGACTTTCTCTAAAATAAAATGTAACAAGCGTCACCAAATAGTATACTGATCTACATCCAGTGTTCAAACAATCATGTTGCTGTTGAAGTTTATCCATATCTTAGAACATAATGAAAAATGCCCTTTATAGAGGCTAACAGACCAAGGTTACAATTTTAAGGTTTCCTATTTTCCAAAGTCTAAAGGTAGCAGTCCAAACGATGCACGGGGCAGTACTATACTGTTCAAATATTCATACTTACTGGGATGGACTGAGAAAATGTGTAGTACTTTTAGCTTAAGCGATGACTATAATGTCTGATTAACAAAACTGATTGATATGAATACTTTTTAAACTAATTAACCCACATTTTTCACATGGTATACTTATACAGTCTAGAAGCTTTTTCTTCCATTGCCAGAAACCCAAGAGACTTAATGCAAAAATCTGTAATGTATAATTAGAGGACACATGCTATCTGATGTGGAGTTTTTTAGTCGGTGGTTGTTTTTATTTAAATATTCAGAAAAAGTGAATCTGAGCAGTAAAGATGCATTAATCTGGCTGATTTGTCATTGTCTAGTAATGCGTTTTCAAGGATGATGCTGTTACATAACAGCTGTGTGAAACTGGCTTCACATTCACAGAACATTATTTTGAATGCGAAACTTTCAGAAGCATTGCCACCCATTCAAATTAATGCACGTTTCAGGTTGTTTAAGCTATATCTGAAACGTGGATTTTACACTGTCTATACTTTTCATCGGGGTATGTTATTAACTATAGGTGTTATTCATTAACTACTTATTCATAAATCCCATAGGCAGACCTTATTACAGTGCAAGTGTGCAGGTGCACTTGCAGTATAAGCTGTTTATATGAGGCACGTCGTATTAACTGTACACAGGTGCATTGTGTCACGGGAACTGAATAATGAAACACTGCTGGCACCCACCTGCGTGATTTCACGTTGTCCATGACAGCTGGTAGGAGGACTGAAATTCTTCGTAGATGAACCTGTGCTTGGCAGCTCCCTAAAATCCCTCTTTAATAGATGTGTATCCATAGAAAGCGTTGACAGTCATTGCAGGTTTCTTCGGGATCTGGCTAGCAGCGAGCTAACTAAAAGCACAGTTTATAACATATACTTTCTCCGTACAAGTCATATTCACATCTTCCCAGAGAAAGGCGTTGCTATGTCCTCTTCAGATAAAGGCTGTCTTCAAATGCGGACTCGTAACATAAAAACTCGCTATGAAACTGAAGGTGGGCTACTTTTATTACTCGCCGTCCGGGCTGTTTCTATCATAATCTTTCTCTTCTGTACTTCTGTTTGGCGTTATGATTTTTGTCCATCCCGCCGATTCTCGCGCCCAGCCCTCTGCACAGGCGGCCTCGCCCCCGATTGGTCAGAAACGGGGCCGTAACGAGAGGAGTCGGTTCTCGAAACTGATAGGTCAAAAACGAGGACACACTCGCAAGTGATTGGTTAAGAATTTGCAAGCAGTTCTTTCATTGGTTGAGAATCTCAGGAGGCGAATGTTATAGCAGACAACAGTGTTGTCACCTCTTTCAGCAAAATGGGTCTTTTCATTATGACTGTAGTGGCTCAAAGTGGGTTTCGGGACTTTCTGGGGGCCCTTTGGGGACTTTCAGAGGGTTCTGAGGCACACAGCGCGAAAAATCGCACAATGAAAGCGCAAAAGGCTGCATCATCTGCGCCTTTGTGCCATCGTATACCTTCAGGTGATTGCATTTGCGCTGATGTGATGCATTACTATGGTATATTTATTATTATAATTTGCATCTTATATAAGGAGAGCAGCAAAACAGTACCATAAAAATTGGCTTTCCACGAGCAGCTCTAAAAACGGTGTTTTGCTGGCATCTTGTGGACAAAACTTAGGATATCGACATACTGCTTGCAGATTTCACTCATATAAAATATAATTAACCTCTTCATATGGGGTTTATTTCAGTGATATGACAATAGTGACATTTCTGTGTTTGTGCAATATGAAAATATTACAACATTTACTGTCACTACCCGTTCGCAGTCCCATACATACTGTTTTTATTATTCATTAAGTATGACATTTTTATGTAATGTTTTTTTTACTTAAGTACAGTGTAAAATATTTTTTTAGAAAGAGAATGTGGTCAAATGAAATTGACTTGGTACCAGGCACATTTTTCTTAAGGGATCAAGCGCCTGAAACACGGACAGTTTGTTGATATTGTAAAAAAAAAATAATAATAATACAGCCACAGGGGGGCGTTTTAAAAACGCACTCCCCTGTTGCGCATGTCCCTAATGGTATGCCCCCCCCCCGTACACCCACGTTTCCCTGCCTGAATGCCACTCCCGTAATGCCACTCCAGGCTCTATCATGTTCGTCCATGGGAGGCCGCTGTTAAATATGATTTATTTGAGTAAATAACACTTTGATTTTAAATATTTTAGCTGCATCTTATTCAGAATTATTGCTTCGTATTTACTGAGGGTGAAAAATCATTATTTGGCTGTACCAATCTTTCATATCAGCTCTGAAAATATGGTGTTCTTGCTGTAATGTTGCTCTTTACTAGGCTTATTCTGATTTTTACTGTTGCAGTACAAAAAATATGGTTTTCAGAAAGAGAAGAGTTTAAAACATACTTTTTAAACATATTTATCAATTATTTATATTTAGCAACACAGAGATGCTGCCTCGGGAGATTTTCAGTCAAAACGTAACTGTCCAAAGGGTTCCTTTGTCGCCACCTAGTGGCTAGTGGTATTTACTGCAAACCAGATTACCCATGAATACTGTTATTACCGATTTTCGTCGCAAACATGCACTTGCTTTATAATCAGCATTTGTTTTATTTTCCCATTTCCCATCTTCTCTGGCCTAGAAGCTTCATATTCAACATCCTTTGTCCATTATCCCGTTTAAAGAGACATAACTTACATTCTTTTCTCTCAGCAGTCTGATTTTCCTCTATTCTCTTAATGATCATCACTATACCCCAGCATGCCTTTTTTATAGATCATCTATTAATCATCTACTTTTCTGACGCCCTCTCTGATCTAAATTCTGCTTTGATCTGTATTACATGTATAGTTGTTGTACTGTACTTGTTGCAATATCTGGATTTTCTGAAGATTTCAATTACAAAAGTGGACTTCCAATGATAAGCATGATGAATAAGCATGTGAGACGCAAAGGACAAAGGATGAAATGAATTTAACATTAAACAGCAGGTCAGAGGTGGCTTCAGTTTTCCTCAAGCTTATACTGTGGAGGAAAATGTCCAATTATGTTCTTAAATTCTATGTCAGGGGCTTTAATTAGCAGTCACTGAGCAAGAGCAATCTTCATCATCCTCACTGCAGCAATTTTTCGTGTGACAAGTCAGACAGGGAAGCCCGACAAACTTTACTCCACTTCACTACCAGGCCTTCTGAAGATCCATCACACGTTTGTTTAGGCAAATGGAACATTGGGAACGTTTCTCCAAGTGGTGAAGATAGATGCATGAAGGGCATCTACTCTTAGGAACTGTTGTCCATTTTTGTGAACTTCCCTTGCCATCCATCCCCAAAGGTTCTCAGTTGGATTAAGATCAGGGGAAGATGCAGAATGGTCCAAAAGAGTGAAGAGTGAAAGATTGTCCTGGAAGAAGTCCGTTGTCCTGCAGTCATTGTGCACTGTAGCGTTGTCCTGTTTAAAAACCCAGTCTTTACCACACAGACAAGGGCCCTAAGTCATGAGGGATGCTTTCTGCAACATCTGGACGTAGCCAGCGGCCATTTGACGTCCCTGCACCTCCTGAAGCTCCATTGTTCTACTGAAGGAAAAAGTACCCCAAACCCATATGGTGCCCCCCCCACTGTGGCACGTAGAAAAACTCTCGGGTGGCATCTGTTTGTCATGCCAGTAACGTTGGAAACCATCAGGACCATCAAGGTTACATTTTTTCTCATCAGGGTATAAAACGTTCTTCCACCTTTCAGTGTCCCATGTTTGGTGCACTCTTGCAAAGTCCAAACGGTCAGTTCTGTGGTGTTCAAGGCGACGAGGCCTTTGAAGATGCTGTCTGATGGTTATGGGGCTGCAGTCAGCACCAGTAACGGCCTTAATTTGGGTCGAGGATCATCCAGTGTCTTGACGGATAGCCATTTGGATCCTCTGGCTCACTGCTGGTAAAATTTTGGGGGGTCTTCCACTTGACTTTTGTTAGTCTGTAATCCTCAGCAGTGATGCCGCGCTTCAAGTGCTTATGCAGTTCAACAACCCGACCATGCTCAAAAAGGGAGCGATTTTTTTTGCCTTTACCATCAGAACGCCATGGCAGTGTGACTACCTGACAGAAAATGACAGTGAATCCACATTTGTGCCCAGATTTGGCCTTTTAAAAGCATGTGGTCTTAAATTTTTGATCAGCTGTAAAACAGCCTGTTTCAGTTTAAGTGTTGTTCCCAATAAATTGCATGCTCAAAAAAATGTTTTGTCTCACCCCCACTTTTTCTTGTAATAATAATAATAAACTTTATTTATAAAGCACACTTAAAAACCAAGGGTATGCCAAGGTGCTTAACAAGTAAAATAGAGTATAGGAGGAGGATAATAGAAATAGGACCAAAGCAAGTACTAAATATGCAAGCAGATAACTGTCACTAATACATAGGAAGGCAACAGGTACAGAGCAAACAAGAATTTAAATGAGCATAGAAGTGCATGATATAAAATCATAAAAGAAATATTAACTAGAGGGAAAGGCAAGATTGAATAAGTGGGTTTTTAATCGTGATTTGAACAGTGCAATGGAATCAGATGCGCGGAGGTCGAGAGGAAGGGTATTCCACAGTACCGGGGCAGCCAGAGCAAACGCACGGTCACCCCGGGACTTCAGTCGAGATCTGGGTTGGGTCAGAAGTAGTTGAGTGGCAGATCTGAGTGTTCTAGCAGGAGTATGTGGTTTGAGAAGTTCACTAAGATAACTTGGCGCTAATTTATTAATAGTTTTGAAAGTAAGGAGTAATATTTTAAATTGAATACGGTACTTTATGGGCAGCCAATGCAGGCTAGCTAGGACAGGGGTAATATGGCAAAATTTCCTGGTACCAGTCAAAAGGCGGGCTGCTGCATTTTGGACTGTTTGCAGTTTAAGAAGAAGAGAAGAGGGAAGACCATAGTACAAGGAGTTACAATAATCCAACCTGGAGGTCACAAAAGCGTGAATAAGCTTCTCCAGGTCCTCATGCGGAATATAATGCCTAGCCTTAGAGATAAGGCGCAGTTGGTGGAAGCTAGATCTCACTACAGCAGACACTTGCTTATCAAGTTTGAGCGAGCTATCCAGCAGTGCACCCAAGTTACTGACATAGTCACAAGAAAAACTAGCAAAGGAACCCAGGGCAGCACAGAGTTGGGCACGAGGGATTTTACTGTTGAACACCACAATCTCAGTCTTCTTATCATTTAAAACAAGGGAATTACTCAGGAACCATTCTTTGACCTCCCGCATGCATTCTTGAAAGTAGTGCAGGGACACAGCAAGGTCGTCAGTAAGTTCAAAATAGATCTGTATGTCATCGGCATAACAGTGGAAGGCGATATTGTATTTTTCAAAGATTGTGCCTAGAGGGAGCAAATACAATGAGAAGAGAATAGGGCCTAAAACTGATCCTTGAGGCACACCACAACAGACCGGAGCAGAGGAAGAGGAGAAGGTGCCTAAGTGAACTGATAAGGATCTATCAGCGAGGTATGATTTAAACCAGTCGAGGGCAGTGCCTCTAATACCCACAGTGTGCTCAAGTCTTAGTAATAAAATGTTATGGTCTACCATATCAAAGGCCGAAGAGAGGTCCAGTAAAACTAGGACCATAGAGCGTCCAGTATCAGTGATTACAAGAATATCATTAAGAACTCTAACCAACGCTGTTTCAGTGCTATGCAATGGCTTAAAGGCAGATTGAAATTTCTCAGCAATATTGTTCGTGTCCAAGTACGCCTGGAGTTGGGAGAGAACTAGTCTCTCCAGGATCTTGGACAAGAACGAAAGCTTAGAGATCGGTCTATAGTTTGAAAGGTCATAACAGTCAGAATTTCTTTTTTTAAGAATCGGGTGGACTACAGCATGCTTAAAGGACAAAGGAACACAGCCTGAGAGCAAGGAAAAGTTCATAAGAAATAGGATACTTCTTGTGGCATGTTGAAGCTCTACTTGGAACTTGTTAAGATCTAACTATGCAAAATATGATTTTTTTTAAAAGATTATTTATTTATTTTGCCAT